GTCCACGTGGCTGTAGCCCTTCCAGGCCTTCAGGTTGCAGCTCCTCAGGATGCTCCCCAGCTGCTGGCCAGGGCCCACTTCCCACGTGCCCGGGAACTCGGTGCCCCTCCTCCTCTCRTAGATGGCGTGCATGGTCTGCTCCCACTTCACCGGGGACACCACCTGCTGCCCCAGCAGCTGCCGGATGTGCGTGGGGTGGAGGTACCTGCTCCCACTGACGTTAGAGTAGACGGCCACCAGCGGCTTCCTGATGGCCACTGTCTTTAAAACCTGTGCCAGGGGCTGCACAGCGGGCTCCATGAGGCGGGTGTGGAAGCCGCCGCTCACAGGCAGCATCTTGGTGCGTCTGAAGTGGTACCTGGAGGAATTCTTCTGGAGAAAYCGCAGAGCCTGAGGGGGGAGAAGAGGCTCAGCCAGGAGGTCTTGGGAAGGACCCCAGGGGCAGAGGCGTGGTCCTCGCTGGGACCAAGTTCCTGGCCTGGGCTCAGCAGAGCGTTTCTCCATGTGCACACAGGTTTAGTCCCGTGAGCCCTTGCGTGAGAACCTAGTTCACATCTCTAGTTCCAGGTGAASGGGCCGGTGTGTGCCSTGTCCCCAGGGCCGCAGTTCTACCTGTTTGTGTCTGCATGCAGAGGGGTCACTTCTGCTGTCCAAAGCAAGGGGTCCTCCTTGGCACTAAGTGGCAGCCTGAGGGGCCTCCCACYTGGTGGAGGACAGGGATTCTCCACCAGGTGATTCTACCTCGGGCAGGGTCTGGAGACACTTTCTGCTGGTCACAGCTTGGAGAGAGTCCTGACACGTGACAGGTACAGGCCAGGGACAGACCATCCTTCCAGGCGAAGGACAGGGTCCCCAAAGAAGGAATTGTCTGGTCCCTGATGTCAACGTCTCAGCCACGCTGGGAGCCTGTGAGGAGAGCAAGCAGAGGGGAGCTGCTCTGCCCACGGGACGCCAGACCTCTGCGTGGCCCAGACTCCAGCTGGTTAGACGAGGCCGTCACACCCCAT